ACGCGTCCAGCCGTCTCTTCTCGGGGAGGAACGTAGACCGGACTCGAGAAAGCGGCAGAAATCGAGCCTATGGTTACGTTTATCGCCAGCAGGTCAGATCGATTGACCGAAATTTATTTTTCTTCATACTAAAGCTACTATTTTTTTGACGATGATGACAGCTGTGAATGGGTCAACAACGATAAAACAAAGTTACGGGATGAATTTATTTTTCGTAGTGTTTCGCTTGTTTGTTCTACTGCCGAACTCGATGTGTAACTTGATTCACACACTGTTCACAATTGATGTAAGCTTATTATCAAAAGTACGGCTGCATGCGTGTGAGCAAACGAACAGTCTGTTTTAGTCGTTATTCTGTGTTTCACATCTGAAAATTATACTAATACAATTATTGGCCTCAGGCTCGGTGAACATTGGTGAATATTCACCTAGACGATGTCGAGGTGAATATTCACCAATGTTCACCGAGCCTGAGGCCAATAATTGTTAATTATTCCAAGGTACATATGCATATCGTGGGTTTTTCCGACATTTTGAGCTGGAGAGGCCATTGAATTGCGAAGTTAATTACTGAGTACCGCGCTGAAGAGCTCACAAGAGCCATTGCTCCATATGTCGCTCTCAAAGAAGTAGCCCATGAAATGGTTTGTTTGTCTAAATATTGCTTTTTACAGCAGATAACAGCGAAATGTTAGTCACAGCTTTTCTATTTGGACAGAGTTCGTGAATTCAGAACGCATGTTTTCTCGTCGAAAATTGTTACCACCGGCTTCCCGAATTAAGCTCGACGCAAGTTCGCCGTCTGCACCAGCCGTCGCTCCAAAGTCGCTCTAAAGGCGAACTTAATCAAGTTTGGTTCGGCACATGAGTTGAGCGACGTTTGGACCAGGCCTTAGTTTCACAATCTGGTGGCTAGTTATTCTGCAGGTCTGCGTTGGAGAGTGGTGTAATAACCTGAACAAGATTTCAGCCTGTGGGGAAGACTATTCTTGAAGAAAATTCGGGAAACCTTTACGATTGATTACCCAGCAAGAAAGAGTAAAACGACGAAAATGACCATTATGTGTATTACATTGAACAAAAGAGAAGCATCTTGGATATACGTGCTATAAAGCGCAGTAAATAGTGTTACAATTTACCTCCAGCACTGACATACTGTTTGTGAGGAATGTTATCAGTCAATATCCGGAAGTACTTACATGAAACCGAAATAGAACAACTGCCACAGTGTGCAAGAGGAACAACAGTGAGTGTGTCGTCCATCAGGTGATACATAAATAGGACGGAATAAAGGAAAGTACTTTCCAGTAATCGATATTTGTCACAATCTGTCAGGATTTTGCTTCTGCCTGCACATCATCTGTCCTCGTTGCGCCATGGCACGTATAAGACCTTATTACAGACCTTGCTGCCTGCACAGTGCAGCTTACCTTTCCTGTTCTAAATCTTGATCTTTTCTGTTTCTCTGTTAGTCTGTTTGCTAGCAGTCGAACGCCGTCCTGCAGTATTGTAAAGCCACCTTTGAACGCCACAAAGGCTTGAAACATATCCTTCAATCGAAACACACAAAGTACACGTTCGCTCGCTGTTCCTGCTTACACATGGTCTTTCATTTCCCGGATGTACATGTATTCGTCGGGAGACGCGGTGGTCTCATGGTTAATGCGCTCGAACTCCGGATCGAGCTGGCCGGGGATATTGTGTTGTGTTCTTGGGCAAGACACTACTCTTACAGTGCCTCTCTCACCACCCAGGTACGTAAATGGGTTCAAGCGAATTTAATGCTAAGATAATTTAATGAAGATAGTGGTATCTCAGTGGACTTCGGTTCAGTGGTTCAGCATCCTGTAGTGAAGATCCCTGATCCTTTCGACCTGACATTAAATACCTTATTATGCTGGAGGTTTCGCCTGTGGTGATCGCAATACCACTTGGTTCCCCTGAACAACAGAAGGCGATTACTGACCGCTCATAGTGGTTGTGCGAACATTACCAATCCAGAGACATTGCAGAGCGCGGTCCCCTTGTTGCGGCCACTGGTACTCATGTCATCGCTGCCACAAAAACTCCAAAGTATGTGACAATGAAGAGGCTAAGGCTAAGGCGAGCCATGCGAATCACCTCAAGTGCTCGTTCTGACACCATGAACAGGAGATTGGTACATATAGTGGGAGATGTCGCAGCTGTGGAGCCCAGGTGCCTGCTAATTTCTGGTCAATGTTTAAAAGTGTGGATAAGAATGCGTACCACTGTAAAAAACGGGGGATGTCGAATCCACACGAATAAATCAATCCATTCCAATGTGAGGTGTGCAATGTTTGCGGTCTGGACAAACGTCTTAAAGAAAACAGAATTCTGGACACAATGAACGCTGTATCTGCTTGGAGGATGCGTTCAGTGGCTGCCAAATCTACCTTGTACACGTTCGCTCGCTGTTCCCGCTCACACTCAGTCTCTCATTTCCCGGTCGTAGTCCGCCATGTACTTATCAATACTAATACACTTCACGCCCAGCGAGCTTAAAACAATTTGCCAAGATCTTGTAGACGGTTTTTGAGAAGGAAGACTTTTCGAATATTGCAAGTCATTAAGCAAGTAATTTTTACAATTACCTTGAAGCGAAAATTGAACTTAACGAATTTATGCAAGGATTCGCACGCATTTCACAATATGAACAAGTTGTTCAAATGCGACTTAATACTCTTTGGGATCGCCTTTTTTATGTTTAAGCTTAGCTTAACAGCCAATCTTACCGCCGTGTACTGACTTCTTCGAACATTTTTACTAACTCAAGCTGGATCATCGAAGTCTAATCTTTTAAGGACACTCATGAATTGACTTATCATTGATGAAGTTAGTGTATGTTGAGCTGCCCACTTTGTTTACAGTTGAAGCAAGTTGATCATGGTTGCGTGACGTCTTAGGCTGACTATCTAAGATTGCAGGATTTCTTGACATACATTGTAAAAGCTCTTTAGTGGCCAGTATTGATCAATATCAATCAAATATCTTACGTCAGTAGTCGTCTTTTATTTCGGCGGAGACCGTTGCAAAATTCCAGGGATACTAAATCATTGTGAAAGTTATTGCGAATTCACCTATCCTATCATGCTGTAGTGTATATCATAGGATGTGCTTTCAGTAACGATCAGGTGTCAAACGTAGATATTTGGTTCTTATCCTATGGCCGCTTAGAATTGAAAACAGGTATTGGTGATCGTGTATTGGGGTAACATGTATTAGAGAGGGGGAAGGGGGAAGAGGGGTTGAGGAGGAGAGTTATTGAGATGGTTATGGAGTAGGTGTAACCACCTTATGAGGATATGCATTGTGTATTTTAAAATGCCACTCTCATGCAATTACAGTCACGTACTCAACCGGTTATTTTGTTAAGGTCGACAAGCGCAAAGTGTGACGATCCAAGACATGGCTTGTTGTCCCTTACTTCTGAGAGAAAAAAATACCTTTACTTTTGGCAACAATTTTTGTCCCTCTGTTTTGTTTAACTAGTTTTGTGCGGTTGTTTTCCCTCAGCTTTCTTTCTGTAAGATATTATGTCTCAATTGACCACAACTTTGCCCTCTCCCTCGTTCGCAAATAAAATTGTCCGTCCTTAACGCAATCGGTGTGCGTTGAAAATAAAGATCATTTTTGTATTGGTCAGGTCTGCGACGACATCATCAAGCTCTAAAGATTCTGAATACTAAAGACAAGAGAGACAGCTAAAGACAAGACAGACTCATCTCTGGTTCTGCTGATTTTGCCCAGGGTATTTTGCAGCATACAACTAATTTTGAAAACCGAGATGCCAGGCTATCAACTCGCCCAGAGTGATTTGGAACATGTTCATCTCAAGTACATATGCAGACAGTGCAACTTTGTGTTACGTGACCCGCTACAAACACCGTGCGCTCATTTTTATTGCCGAGGCTGTTTGGAACACCTTAAAAGGTAACTATTAAGTTTGTCCTCAGAATATTGTTCGTTTTACGGATGTTCGTTAAATACGAGCGTGACTCGAAAACATCGAGCAGTGTCGTTTATCGGCTACATAGATGGCCGGTTTTTCTTTATTCAACGTGATTGCCAACTTTGGGACAAGAGTGTCGAGTTCTTCGTTCTGGCATGGTCTTTGAAATGTAATTTCGTCGTTGGGTTTAGAACAATTAAAGCATAGAACTTTCAACACTACTGAGATAAATATGCCAGTAATGTCCAACAATAATTTAGAAATTAATGAAAATTGGTAGCTTATGATAATTATTTGTGGGGTTCTGTCCAACACTTAGGTATCTCTGTATCTCTGTATGTGGGTCAATAAGGGTTGATTCGATGTGAACTCCAAGAGTTTTTGTCCGGAGAAAAAAAAAAATTACTTTTTAATAGTAAATATTTTCAATTGCAATGATACTCCATGGAAAAGGAGAGGCTCTTTGGCCTAATTTATGATGGTTAGTGGGTTGTACTCCAAATCGGCGAGCGGTTTGGGTTCGAGTTCAGTCGGAGTAACCTGCGAAGGAGTGTCAATTCGTCCAGTACAGAAACCAGATTTTACGAGCCGCAACACTTTAAGTTTAAGGCTTTGCTTTATGGCACAATAAACTGTCTACTATGAAATTTGTTAGCTACAGATTTTGATTAAATGGGAGCAACACATTATCAAGGTAAGAGAGAGAATCCACCATATAGGTCCTCTACCTAAGGTAATCCCTCTTAAGTTATTTTTACACATGGTACCCAGTTCTTCCGAGGATGTTACTCGGGCGATGCGTGCCCAGACGACTTTCTCGAAACTACCTGAGACGAAATGGTGGGAACGTCATTCGATATGTTTTGATTTCGTTTCATAGCAGAGATCTTCTCTGCACTCTCAGCCGTCTTTTTGTTCGGCCGGGCTTTTGTTTGTTTTGTGCTCGTTTGGCTGTTCTTTATTTGGCCGTTTATTCGGTTTTAGGGAGTTTAATTAAGTACACTTTAGCGGCAACGAGTATAATGGCTGTGTAAGCGTGCGTTATAATTCTTTGTTCATTTCTTTGCCGTTGTTTGCAAAAGGTCACAAAACAACAACGTGAAATAGCCGCATTCTGCCTATTAGAGAGAACGTGAACTATACGACGGCGAATTTTTAAAGTTTCGTTTTTCGAATTTTGACGCTGTCTCCGCTGTCTTACATATCCTGTTTGGAATATTTCTGACAGTTTGGACAAACTGAATGAATCTAAATTCTCGCGAGATTCGTAGGTTGAATATCAAGTCGTTTTTTAATCGACGTTGCCTTTGGCGCTGCTTAAACTGCTTTTTGCTGCTTGGGCGGCGAGCATCTGCCTGCACTTTCGACCATCTGTTTGTTCGGTTGCCCAGCTTGTGTTTGGACGTTTGTTTGCTTTGCAGTCGTTTGTCTACTCATTTCTCTGCCGTTCATTCAGTTTTTATTGTTAGTGCAGGGGACATCCGTCTCTTATTTAAACTCCTATTAAAGTTTCGAAATGTATCATCGAGGGCCGAATCTCCCTTGCTTGTAATCAAAATATCATAGAAGGTACATCCCCACAGCGTTGGAGGTTTTCCTTTGCTTTGAAACGAAACGAAACGAAACGACATAAACAGATCCTCCACGAAAACATCCACGCAACGCGCGA